GTGTGGTAAGTACATTATTATGCAAGTATATTAAATGTATTTTGATAATTCCCTAAATATATTGCCAAAGTTTATTTCATAATTAAAATGTACACATCTGCTTAACAATTAAAATACGTATCTTATGTACTTGGGGAATTATTTATATTTCGTATACGTCTCTAGAGAAACTATTAATTTATTATATTTAAACGTATATTAGAGAAATTAATTTAGTTTCATTATAGGTCCATATCTATCTATATATCATAAGTATTGTACTTAAAGAAATTAATTTAATTTCATCATAATTCCATATCTTATCTATATATTATAAGTATTGTACATTTCGTATACGTATATAATTATGTACTAAGAGAAACTAATTTAGTTTCATTATATGTCCATATCTTATCTATATATTATACGTATCTATGTACTTGATGAAGTACTGATCTACAAGCATCTACAAGATCTATATAAGCACTCTATACACATGTCTGATTGTTTCTATTTAGGTAATTCATTACTTATTTTGTTTGTTTTCATTCAACAGGTGAAGCAACAGTCTACCTCGAACGTCTTCCGTTCAGCGATGTCCATTGTGGAGGAGCGCATTGCCGGGGACATCCCTCCAAAGGACCGATTCCTGGCGCCCAAGATGCACCTGATGAAGAGAATCGCCAACCGGTACAGAGCGAAGTTCCGACCTCAGCAACATCCCTATACTTTGTTTAAAGTACATACTGTATAAGTGTGATTAAGACGTGCAATAGTATAAGTAATATAAGTATATACAAACTTATAACTTCACATTGACACAAATACACAATTAATTATTTCATATTGATTGTAGGTCGACCAGGGCTACCTCCACTTCGAGGAGTTGCTCATCGAGGACATCAGCATTGACAATGAGCGACATCTTCTATTTGCCACCGCCTTTCAGATGAGCGTGCTCCGCCAGACCAAGACCTGGTATATATGGACGGAACCTTTAAGGTAAACTATCTAACTAGTAACTATAGTACATGATTTACCGGTCATCCAAGCGCCCATGCGTATACAGTTATATGATGTAAATAATTCCAGCCTTTTGTAAAAAAACTAATTATATCTACATTGTTTTATAGGTCATACCAGCAACCTTCAGACCCTCTGGGCAGTTGATGTCCATCCACGCATTTGTACAGCAGAACGGTCGGCGGAAGCAGTTTCCATTCTGTTCGTTCCGATGTCGTGGAAGAGGAAGCGGGACTACGATGATGTATGTATTATTGGCAAATATCAACGTATATTGGTAACAAACGATTAATGCTTAAAGAACTACAACTGAATGTTCAATGCTGTCGAATAACATAACCAAATGATGTACGTAAGACACACACATACATTAATTCTCACTTCTTTTATCTTAGGTGTTGACCGTCTGCAAGCGCCACCTCGGTGTTGACATGCTGGAGCAGTTTGTTTTGAACTTTGAGAGAGGTTTGTATAATAGGATAATACATGGAAACATATAAAATGTCTTCTTGCAAAGATAAAAAAAAATACACACCCTTGATCTATACTTTAAGATGACTGTTTGAGAATCCTTAAATATTTTTATTTTATTTTCAGCTGCTTGGTTGGCCATACAGGAGGTTTTTTCCTGTCGTGACCGTGAAGGGCTGCCTTTTTCACTGGACGCAGGCAGTCTGAAGACACGTTCAGGAACTTGGCCTCGTCCCCACCTATAGACAACGCCAGCAGACCGACGGATACATCCGCCAGCTACTTGCGCTCCCGTTCCTGCCATCATTACACATCAGGGATACATTCCTGACCCTCCATCGCCGCGCAGAAACCCCGGAACTGGTTGGACTGGTGGAGTACATCGAGCGTCAGTGGATAGACGACGATGTATTCACTCCAGCTTCCTGGACTGTCTTCCGACAGAGTGTCGGCACTAACAATGACGTTGAAGGTAAGTTATGAAAATGCTGTATGACGTGCACATGTTTGATTAAACTATATAGTTTTGTGTTCATATATTACCTTCCTATAGTAAATTCGAAACGTTAAATGTAATTAATGCAATGTATATTTAATTTTCATCTTTGTTTTCATTTAGGCTGGCACCATCGCCTCAACGTTAAGGCCGGACATTGGACGACACTCTTTTACAGACTGGTTTCCCTTCTGGTTAGAGAGGCAACCATTGTTGAGACCAGCGTTGCTGCGGAGGACTTCGCAATGGGCAACCGTGCCGTTTACAGCCGGATGGAGAAACAGCTGACCGCCGCCACCGACAGCTATATGACGTGTGGGCTATCTACAACAGCGTTCTTGCGGAGATGTGCCGCGTTGTATACGTGCCGGTGGGACGGGGCAGAGGAGGATGAGGCCACTAGAGACGAGTCAGATGTGTTTTTTTCTGTGAGACCAATTCGAACAATGTGTTTTGTTGTTTTATGTTGTATGTTGCATTTAATTGTGGTTCGTAAGTAGTGTATCAGTGTTTTTTGCTAATTAAGTCATTTGATAGGACATTGAAGATAAAATGTGTGTTTTGCCGGAAAACAGCATGTAAAACGCTAAGGAATGTGCCGTTGTTCAAAATCGTGAGTACTGTTCATACATGTACTACGGCAGTAAATGTTCGTCTGACTGTTATTCTGTAAGACTTGTGTAAACTGTTCTGTGTACAAAGTAAAGATGGGTGTCGAAAACAACGCCACCAGTCACACAACTAATGACGAGGGTTTTGAGGTGGTTAAACCGAAAAATTAAAAGACTCCGACGACGACTAAAGCTCCAACCACAAGAAAATCTACAAAACAACCACTCATTGACTTTTCATAATCAAATAAAAGAGCATCCTTGTCGGGAACTACACAAAAATTTGGACCGCGTGTGTGCTTTTTTGAAAGATATAGTTACGGCCGAGATGTTGGATACTAAACTAGATGGTATCAAGCTAGAAATCATGTGCTAGAACAAAGAAATAGTTCAGAAACTAGAAATTAGGATAACTTCCCTAGAACACGAAAATCGCATATTGAAAAATAGAGTGGGAGAGCTAGAGGAGAAAGTCGATGAAATCGAGCAAAACGTAGGTACGGAGCCTGAAACCAACAGAGACTTGGAAATAAAATATAATTACCTCGAACAGCAAGGTAGAAAAAATAGCATCCGGATTTACGGACTTAAAGATGACAGGGCCAAGGAAACTACAGAGGAGTGTATAGACAAAGTTGTTAAACTGATCAAAAACAAACTTAACCTAGCCTCATTTAACGAGATGTAGCCTATAGACTTGGTAAACCAATTTCGGGGAAAACTCGTAGTGTGATTTGCAAATTTGTGCAGAGGAGGAAAAAGACTGAAGTAGTCACAAAATGACGTGCTCTTAAATGAAGTGGTATTGTGATAGTGGAGGACATGACCCAAATGAATCGTACATTGTCGAATGATGTAAAAAGTGTCGAAGGAGTGACAAATTCTTGGTGTTCGGACGGCAAATTGTTCGCGATGCTTTCCAATGCCAAATTTTACGAATCGATCATTATACAATCTTCCGAGAATCTGAAAAATGACAATAAAAAAAACAAGAAATCTGCTTGAAAAAAACAAAACAGTTTCAGTGAATAGGACTCCTATCCAGAGACACGACGTCTGTGCCTACATGACTTTTTTTGTATACATATATATATATATATACTGTTGTAATATGCATACCTTATTACTGAAATTGGTGAAATTCTTCGATTGCTCATACAAATTATTTAGCAAAACTATTTTAGCAATGTAAAAGTGAGTAATTATTACAATCCGGAAATGAAACCCATCTCCGACTACCTTATATATAGTAAAATATAACTTCCGGTTAAGGTACGGTGCATTGAAAATGCGATGTTGATTTTAAGAAGAGTTATGTTGTTATGTGAGTATTTTATTGTCGTATTGAAATCAAGTGTAATCTTTGTTAATAAAATCGATAATGTGATTCATATAGCCAAAAATGTGTTAATAGCGAAAAGTCAATTAATATCATCCGAAATTTTAGTCCATATACGACTACCTTTTATATCGGATGTATTGACTTCCGGTAAGGCCTGGACCATGTGTGTGCGAGAGCACGTTTTCTTAGCTGATGATAAACACAGACAGGCAAAGAAAGGCGATGCTGAATTTGGTACGAATTTTAAGTGTATCTAGAGTCGTGTAAATAACATGTATTTGAACTTCAATGACAACAATAGTATGTAAAATAGGGCGTCAAAGACGTCTTTCCCTGGGATGTTTTGAATAAGTTATCTCCCCTACCAGTGTCAAATCTACAGTTTGCATGAATATATCAGCATCTTAAGATTATATGATTTGTCAGTCATGTTATTTTAACTTAAACGTAGAATGAACTTAATGGACATACTTTAGACATGAGCCGATGTGGAATATTCGTATTCAGTGTACAAATTTTACGAAGAAAAACCCAATCAGCTCGTGACATGAACATATACATTTAATACTCATACTAGTATGACATCATTCATATTACAAAGACTATAATTAAAAAGGATCGTTTTAAAATATTTAGCTAGGGGTTGTCCTTTTTTCTCAAAAAATCAAAATATTTTTGTAGTTTAGAAAAAAGAAATTTTACAGAAAAAAATACAAAGGATAGAAACAGAGGTGGGGATGGTTTGATGATATTTCACTTTCATTTGAAGAACAAAAAATTAGAAGGTATGATTGATTACAATGAGCCAACACATGTATTAAAGAATATGAAAAATGATAAAAGTCCCGGGTCAGATAATTTTACTGTAGAATTTTTTATTTTTATCTGGAAAAATCTAAATCTACGGAAGCCAGTTAGGGTCACCGGAAAAAATAATATTATGTCGTAATAACGACTTAGTATCTCGTAATAACGACTTAGCTATGTCGTAATAACGACTTAGTATCTCGTAATAACGACTTAGCTATGTCGTAATAACGATTTAGCATCTCGTAATAACGACTTAGTTATGTCGTTATAACGACTTTGTATTTTTTATTGACGACTCGTTAGACATTACGACATAGCTGCAAGCAAACCGGACATTAGGAACCGGCTGGCGGCAATTCAAGCTGAGAAGCATAGATACCCTTCTGACGCGTTTTCGAAGGTAGGTATGATATGCAAAACCCATTTTATTAAATCTATATAGCCAATTTGTAAACTAGAATCTTCAAACGTATTCATATATCGCATGGATAGTAAATCCTGTACGATAATGCTATCGGTAGTAGGATCATACCCATCGTTCCCCTTATAATCCTGATCACAGGGACTTTGCGAAAAATATCCTACCCATGGTCCATATACATGTACTTTTATCATAGTATAATACTGTAATAAATATATATGCGCTTGGAATTTGTATATGGACCGTTAGAATTGGAATTTGTATATATGGGCCGCGGGTTGGGAATAGGTGTACATTGGCCACAGGGACTTGTCTAGATAATATAATATACCTTAATTATCGATTGGGGGCCAGAATACTTGTGTATTGTGGCCCCCGACCGATAATTAAGGTATATTTTTGTATATATGGGACGTGGGTGAAGGATTGTATAATATTTGCAGTGGATTGAGGATTTGTATTCATGGACCGTGGGGCGGGAATATGTATATTTTTATGGACCGTGGGCTGATGATTTGTGCGTAGTGTGTGTGATAATACTCTGTACACACAACGTTTCATGCAAACTGTTTTAATTAAGCCTGGGGGTTCAGCTTTTTTATAGAATTTTTCAAATTGGCCATATTACAATCAACATTATTTTGCAGATAATGGACGAAGTATTGAGGATTTACCTTCGTAACAGAGGGCTGAGCTTAGACGAAGTAAAAAAAATGGACGAAAACAAGGTAAGTTTAGTCGTCCTAGAATGTCATGATTCATGAATATTGAATGTTGCTATCACTATGTTATTTTATAGGTAAGGGACTGCGTTTGTCTATTTTACGATTTGTGTTGGTTCGATATTTTTAGAATAAAAGCGTCCGTTACAATCAATTTGTTGAAGTTCTGAAAAGAATAATCCAGATCAAAGAGTTTAAACCGCTGTTCTTTGGTCTTGTTTAATTAGAATCTACTGTGATTGGGGCGAACAATATACATATACGACCATACCCTGCCAAAGAGAAGTNAACTGTTTTACTGAAATCTTAGGAGAAATAACGTTAACGCTACGCGTTATTCCGAAAGTGTGATATTCCATTGCTTTGAACGAATAAGTGCATACACGTTAAAGATTTGACGACTGAAAATATCTTAAATCTTTAACAGCCTGACATTTCAAAGGCTAACAGTCCTGAAAACTGTAGACTGAAATATTTTGGTTTATGACGCTAAGCATCACATTCCTAATTAAGTGAAGGACTGTAGCCGATGGCCTGAACATTAACTTTATCACATAATTGGCCAGTTCTACCATGTAATACGGCTATGTCATAAAATATCGTAAGACACGTGCAATAACACAATTGTGACATAATAAATAGTGTATGAATAAAGTCACATAATTGTCTCTACAGAGAAAAAGTACCATGCATGTCAAAAATTGCCTGTCTAAAGTGGAAATTCATTTGAGAGTTGTTACTTATGTTCTAATAAAACAGTCAAACCTCGTTATCTCGAAGTCGTCGTGATTAAAACCTTCGAGTTATCCGAGTATTCAAGTTCCGCGAGTTGCGGGCTGTTTGTGTGTTTGATGTTTAACAGCAAAGACGTTTAAGACGTTGATTTTCTGAGAAGATTAATAGTCAATAAAAAAGAGAATAAAAAACAACATACAATGTAATTAGGGATTCAGATGTTTTACGACACAAAATCACTGCATTGGATTATCCACGTAATTGAAACTGTTTGTGAGAACTACAGTTCACACAAAATTATACGCATCGAGTATTAAACGCAATAAAACTGAACATCGTAAGAAGCCGCAAAACACTAAGATCACACCACTTTCAGTAATTGAATTATTCCTAAGATTGCTTTATTTATATCAAAGCCATGTGCGCTCATGTAAAAAACATTTTCTGGAGTACAAGTCCAAGGTTGTGATTTCAGTTTTGCAGGTACATGTATCCGTACGGTTGACACAGGACCTGTGACAGTGTCATGACCTCGATAGAGATGGGTTCCTTATGAAAGTTTATGAACATTTATGAAGTCTGACTCTTGAACGTGTATTTATGATGACAAAGTTATACACTTTACATTTTCACAAGTTGAAGCGATACTGAGACGTAGAGTATTGGCTAGAACCAGAGAAGTACGTACTTCATTAAACGGGGTCTTCTAATTATCCGAGTTCGAGTGAACGAAATTTGACTGTATGAGTTGTGTGATAATCAGACAGAATATTACACTCAATATCAAATTTTTGAATGAATTAAATAAATGCAATTTGTCAGAGACGTCAGCTCGTATGACCCAAACGTCGTGTCACCTCACTGTCATCAGATCACGCGGAAGGGTGTTGGTTAGGGTTTAACAACACCTTTTTTTTTTTTTTTTTTTTTTTCTGATACAGAGTTTTCATTGTTCGGTGCACAAATCCTTTAAGTGGAAAAATACGAAGATTGCCGAGTGTTTGGCAGCTAAAGAATCTTATCCCGAGGGTTGAGATGCATGTCTCACTCCCAAGAGGGTGAATGATTATTTTTCTCACACCACGTTTGCCTTCTTATGCATCAATGCAAGACAATGTAGTAAAGCAGTATGTTATGTTTGAAAAGTAGGTCACTCTGACCTACATTTTGACCTCTAACCTACATCAAAGAAACATTAGGTGGGGGGACGGTAATTCGCTGAATTATCTTGTTGTATTATTTTATTTTATTAAATCTACAGGTTAGTAAATAATATTTTGGTTTATCATACACCCATGTTAAACTGATGCGGTAATACAAAACACGCTGTCAGTATGCCCGTTGTGCGGTTTGACGATGTCAAAGAATATCTTTCGACTCGTCTAATAGTCATCAAACGTCCTTTATACATCTCGGGGGAAAAGAAGTGCATACTCAACGATATTCCCACTTCAGTGTTAAATGTTATTTACTAGTAATGCATTGTAGACAAATTACTACACATCAACATAGTATTGTATAGATGTGAGATTATTGTCTGAATAAATATCTGACGTGATTCATGTTTGTATTTTGTAGATTGACCGCACTGTTATTCCAGTCATGGATGACCAAACCCTGGCGCTGTATATCCCACATCTTGGGGATCGCATTGCTGTGAAAGACTACTGCAGTCATCCAAAAAAGACCCAGGCAGAAGACAGAAAGCGCACACTTCTAATGTCCTTAAAGAAAAAACTTAGTTCTGAAAATGACGGAAAACATTGCAAAAAGTTTAAGCATTTACCGGGAAATACAAATGCTAAGAAAAACACAAGAAAAATAGAACTCGGATTGTTAAATTTAGACAATAATGTATTCAAACAAGTACGTACTAAAAACGGTGGAGGAACCAGGAAAATTGACGTAGACAAGTCAATGAAAAAAGGAGAACTTATTGATTTGGCAACTTCGCTTTTTTTTCCGAACGGAAAATCTAAGTTGGGTTCTGTAGATGATTTTCATTTTGATCTCCGGGACTTTTCGGAAGAAGTCTGGAATGCGAACGAGACCATTGGAGAACTGTATCAAAAAACAGGAATGCCTTTGTTGCGATTTTCACTGTCAATAACTGCGAAAGCCTTACAAGTCAAGGATAATCTCTCGCCCATTCCGGACTTATCAGCACAGGAACAATTGCCGTCACTCCACTCCTCCGACGAACATTCCTCGACGACATCATTACCAGACCTTTTCACCGTCGCTCTTGTAGAATCCGGTTTACAGGATATAGCTGCCCAAACGATTGTGTCATCAGACACATCTTTTGGTGACAGTGGGCTACATTACCATGATTCTGATGTTTCATTCAATGTGGCATGGGAAACTTTGAACGAGACCAACTCTACTACAGTTGTCTCTGCTGTAACTGGAAATACCCACAGTGACGATGTGGCTAACAATTCTTAAGATAATGTTTTGTCTGATTCAGCATTCCTGCTGTTGAGGGACCATCTATCAACCAGTCAACGCCAAGAGACTTCCGGAAATGTAGCTCATGACGAAGTGGGACCTGTGGAGGCCAGAGCAGGTACAGACCGCATCGTTGAATCTGTACAGGACTACTCTACGACCAGAAATGTTGTTATGGATATTCATCGAGGATCTCTTTCTTTCCGAGAACTTATTGGATACTTCAAGGATCCTGACATTTGTGAAAAAGGTATCACCATTACCCGGATACTCCCAAACGGGGAAAGAGAAAGAGGCGAGGACACAGGTGGAGTGTTACGAGATTTACTTAGCGAATTCTGGGTCATTTTCTATGATACATGTACCATGGGACAGGATGCAAAAGTTCCTGCGCTTAAACATGACCTTGGAGCGGCAGAGTGGGAATCTATTGGGAGGATCTTGTTATATGGGTACCGTACAACGGGATATTGGCCTGTAAAGCTAGCCAAATCGTTTGTACTTTCCATCATTGTTCAAGAAGAGATTGACAACGCATATCTGCTTGAGGATTTTTTGAATTACGTCGCCTCATCTGACA